AGTGTTATTGTTGGATCATATGATAATTTTAGTTTTAATTTTTTGAGGAAATTTTATACTATTTTCCACAGTGGCTGTATCATTTTACATTCCTACCAATAGTGCACAAATGTTTCAAAATCTCTACATCATTACCAACCCAGTATTTACTGATTTTTTTTTGATGTTAGCTATTTCAATAGGTGTGAGGTTGTATCTCATTGTGGTTTTGATTTACATTTCTCTAATGATTAGTGATGCTGGGCATATTTTCATGTGCTTGTAGGTCATTTGTATATTATCTTTAGAGAAATGTCTATTTGAATCTTTTGCCCATTTTTTAAAAATATAATTTGTCAGGTTGGCTAACATACAGTGTATACAGTGTGCTCTTGGTTTTGGAGGTAGATTCCCGTGATTCATTGCTTACATACAACACCCAGTGCTCATCCCAACAAGTGCCCTCCTCAATGCCCAACACCCATTTTCCCTCTCCCCTGACATCCCATCAACCCTCAGTTTGTTCTCTGTATTTAAGAGTCTCTTACGGGTTTGCCTCCCTCTCTGCTTGAAACTATTTTTCCCCTTCCCTTCCCCCATGATCTTCTATTAAGTTTCTCAAATTCCACATATGAGTGAAAATATATGATATCTGTCCTTCTCTGACTGACTTATTTCACTTATCATAACACCCTCCAGTTCCATCCACATTGTCACAAATGGCAGGATTTCATTCTTTCTCAGTGCCAAGTAGTATCCCATTGTATATACAAACCACATCTTCTTTATCTATTCATCAGTTGATGGACATTTAGGCTCTTTCCACAATATGGCTATTGTTGAAACTGCTGCTATAAACATTGGGGTACTTGTGCCCCTATGAATCAGCACTCCTGTATCCCCTGTATAAATTCCTAGTAGTGCTATTGCTGGGTTGTAGGGTAGTTCTATTTTTTATTTTTTAAGGAACCTCCACACTGATTTCCAGAGCAGCTGCACCAGTTTGCATTCCCACCAACACTGCAAGAGGATTCCCATTTCTCCACATCTTCACCAGCAGCTGTTGTTTCCTGAGTTGTTAATTTTAGCCACTCTGACCGGTGTGAGGTGGTATCTCAATGTGGTTTTGATCTGTATCTCCCTGATGATGAGTGATGTTGAGCATCTTTTCAAGTGTCTGTTTCTTTTGCCCATTTTTTGAATTAGATTGTTTATTGTGGAATTGTAGTTCTTTATGTATTCTGGATATTAACCCCTTAAATGATATATGAGTTGCAAATGTTTTGTACTGTAGGTTGCCTTTTTACTCTGACAAAATGTTAAATTTTATGTTATGTATATTTTACAATAATGCTATTGATAATGATGATAAAAACTACCCACAAGAAAAGCCTAGGTCCAGATAGCTTCACTACTGAATTCTGGCAAACATTTTATTTTTATTTTTTTTCAATATATGAAATTTATTGTCAAATTGGTTTCCATACAACACCCAGTGCTCATCCCAAAAGGTGCCCTCCTCAATACCCATCACCCATCCTCCCCTCCTTCCCACCCCCCATCAACCCTCAGTTTGTTCTCAGTTTTTAAGAGTCTCTTATGCTTTGGCTCTCTCCCACTCTAACCTCTTTTTTTTTTTTTTTCCTTTCCCTCCCCCATGGGTTTCTGTTAAGTTTCTCAGGATCCACATAAGAGTGAAAACATATGGTATCTGTCTTTCTCTGTATGGCTTATTTCACTTAGCATCACACTCTCCAGTTCCATCCACGTTGCTACAAAGGGCCATATTTCATTCTTTCTCATTTCTGGCAAACATTTTAAAAAGAACTAACATCAATTCTTCCCAAACTCTTTCATTTTTTTTCAAACTCTTTCAAAAAACAGGAAAAGGAATACTTCCCAACTCATTAAAATGAGGGCAGTATTAGCCTCATACCAAAACCAAATAGTAAAAGAACACAAAACTGAAAACTAGTATCTCTTATGAATAAGGATGCACAAATCCTCAACAAAATATTAGAAAACAGAATCCAGCAACATATAAAGCGAATTATATACCATGACCAAAAGGGATTTATCCCAGGCATGCAAGGTTGGTTTACTATCTGACATTCAAAGTAATGTACCATATCAAAAGAATTTTAAAAACCCATATGATAATCTCAGTAGATGCAGAGAAATCATTTGACAATATCTAACACCATTCATGATAAAAAAAAATTACAAAACTGGAAATAGAAAGGAACTTCCTCAGCTTCTATGAAAAAACTACAACACTATACTAATGGTGAAAGATCAGATGCTCTCTCCCCCAAGATTAAGAACAAGAAAAGGGCATCTGCTCTTGTCACTCAACACTGTACTAAGAGGTATAACCACGGAAATTGGTCAAGAAAAAGAAATAGAAGTAATCCACATTGGAAAGGAAAATATAAATTATCTTTATTTGCAAATAATATGATCTTGTATATGGAAAACCCTTTTTCCACTTAAAAACTATTAGGACTAATAATTGAATTAA